GACAGGGCCTCACTATGTAGTTGAGACTGATCTGGAATTCACTATGTAGCCCAGGCTGGTTTGCAACTCACAGCGATCCTCTTGCCTCAGCCTCCCGAGTGCTGGGATTACAGGTGTGTGCCATCATGTCTAGCTTCTTCTTTTTCTTCTTGATTCAGTTTTGTTGCATGTTTCAAGGAATTTATCCATTTCTTTTAAGTTTGGCACCTTTGAGTGAATTTTATAGTGAGATGCTTTCTTTTAAAGGACAAGGCCAGGTCTTATGGGTTGTGTTCAGAAATGTGTTGGACTTTTCTTTTAGGGGACACTTTCTGTATTTATTTTAACAATAAATATTATTTAAAACCACAAATCACAATTTAATACTTTCATGGTGTATAATGTGTGACTTTAAGGTAAGCATATAATGTAGAATGTTTTAACTAAGCTAGCTGACATATCCATCACCTTGCTTACCAATTGATTTTAATGGTGAGATATTTCTGAGCAATGCCACAGGTTCACTTCTGTGTTCATTGGTCCTACACAGCTAATATTCTTGAGTTGGAGTAACTTTCTTGTACTCACTTTCTTTTCTCTTGAGTCACTTCATCTTGTTCAAATATATCCATCAGCAGATTCTTGAATTTTTTCTGAGACTTTGAGTGTCTGAAATGTTTTTTTTTTCTACTTGGATCAATTCTATAATTTCAAGATGAAAGTTATTTTATACGGAAATGTTGAATGTAGTTCTCTGTTGAGCTCTAGTGTTGCTGAAAAGAAGCCAAAGATTTTCTGATTCGTATTCTTTTTGTGGGCATATGTATTTTAAGCCTGTGGAAGTTTTAGGAACACAAGCATTCTGAACATTTATGATGACATGACTTTGAATATTTCTATATTCATTGTGATAAACATTCATAGCACTCTTTAAATTTAGAGATCCAGCCAGGTGTAGTGGCGGTGGTGCACGCCTGCAATCTCAGCACTCCGGAGGCTAAGGTAGGAGGATTGCCTCAAATTCAAGGCCACCCTGGATTACATAGTGAGGTTCTGTCTACAAACAAAAACAAGAACAAGAACAACAACAGCAACAAACCAAAAAGAAAAAAAAAAGAACAAATCTAGAATCTGTGTCTTTTAGTTCTGCTTTATTTACACATTTATTATCATTTAGTGTGGTATTTCCACAAATGCATACAGTGTGCACTAATTAAAATCCAACTACTTTTATCCCTTTCCATTTGTCCTTTTTATGGTAGTAGTAATAATAATACATTATTTTCATTGCTATAAATATATTATACTCTTACATATCTGGCAATGCAAGATCCATTTTTCCTCTCCCTTTAACTCTTTCCTAATACCTACTAATTACTATTCTAGTTTCAGGTCTACACGTTAAGTTTTCATATATGAAAGAGAACATGCAACATTTGGCTTTATGTGTTAGTCTTATTTCACTTAATACAATGTCCCTTTCTTTAGCTCTGTTTATTTTCCAATTTTAATTTTTTATTAGTACATGTGTGCAGTGTATAATGATCAGATTCCTACTGTGGAGTTAGTCAATGTATACAACATATCTCAATTCTTTTGTTATTCCCTTTCCCTTCCCCCTCTCCCTCTCCTACCATCTCTTGGTTCCCTTCCCACACGCAAAAGATCTATCTCTTTATTATCTACAATTTACTTTTCTTTTCACATATATTATGAGCTATTCACATAAGAGTAAGCACATGATTTTTAAGCCTATGTATTTGATTTATTTCACTTAACATTATGATCTCAAACTGCACCATTTTCTGACAAACCACTCAAGTTTATCCATTTTTTTTTT